GAAGGACCGAACATCTCTCACTGTCTGAGGCTGTGGCCACTTCTGAATAGCAGCAATCTTGGCAGCTTCAGGAGCTAGACCATCTCCAAAGATTACGCGGCCCAGGTAGATAACAGAGGGGAGCCCAAAAGAGGACTTCTCTTTGTTAATCTTATACTGGCTGTCACGTAACGACTGAAGAACGAGAGTCAGGTGCTCTGCATGTTCCCTGGTAGTTTTGCTGAATACCAGGATATCATCCAGGTAGACAACTATAAACTTATCCAGGTAAGGCCTAAAGATGCGGTGCATCTCTGTCTGGAAGGTGCCAGGTGCATTGCAAAGTCCAAATGGCATGACCAGATGCTCGTAAGTACCATACCTGGTCTTGAAGGCTGTCTTGTAGACATCCTCCTCTGCCATCTCAATCTGGTGGTAGCCAGATTTGAGATCGACTTTGCAGAAGATCGTACATCCCTAGACCATGTCGAGCAGGTCGTCGATCCTAGGAAGTGGCTCAGTGCTCTTCCTAGTGATCTTGTTGAGACCCCTGTAGTCAATACACATCCTGAACTCGCCGTTCCCTAACAGGTGCACCGAATTCAGATGTGCTGGGTCTGATCCAGGCTTTGCTGGTCAGGGTCTCAAGCTGTTTTTTTAGCTCCTCAAGCTCAGCAGGGGACATCCTGTAGATGCGGCCCTTGGGAGGGACCGCTCCAGGCAGCAGCTCGATGTGATGCTTGGTTGGCAGGTTGGGTAGTCCAACGGGCTCCTGCATCAGATCAGCATACTGGTCAACTACCTACTGTATCTCAGGAGGACAGACAACAGTGGGAGCGTCTGTTTGCTTGACCAGAGCTAGGAACAGACGCTCATGGTCATACTGGCGAGAGAGAGAGCATAAAACTCCCTCGCTCTCAGGCAGAAGCATGAAGTCTTAGGGTGGTGTTCAGCAGCAATCATACATGGCTGATACACCCCCTTGCTGTCAGGCAACTCAAACTTGGGGATCTGCCAGTCGATCCTTGGGTTGACTGCTTTCAGCCACTGCATGGAGAATACCAGGTCAAAGGGTAAGTCAGGGAAGATGCAGAAGTTCAGACTATGTCCGACTTCTCCAGCGCTGTCGAAGGTAACAGGGATGCCCCTGACCTTTTCCCTGATAGTGAGAACAATGGAGTCACCTATCCTAACCTGCAACGGTTGCTGCAGCTGCACAACTTTCATGCCCAGATGCAGTTTCTTAACTGCACTGGGGGACATGAAGTTCCTGGTGGCTCCACAATCCAATAGCCCCTTGATCCGACTGTGGTTGATCAGGGGCCGAAGTAGGATGAGATCAGATTTGCTTCGCTTTTGTTATTTCAAATGAAAGAAAAAAGCAGCAATAGCCTGAAGCTCAGACTGCTCCGGTTCCTGATCTGGGTCCCCGCTGATCCCCTGCAACAATAGCAGCAAAGGTGGGAGGAGGTTTGGCTTTAGGGTGGGAGGAGGTAGATGGAGATGACCGATGGGAACCATGAGGGGAGCCAGGAGGTGAAGGAAGAGGAGAAGCCAATTTGGGTTTTGGAGAGGGAGGCACAGGGGCAATCACGTTGGTTGGTGTTAGCTAAGCAGTCAGATTCTGGATTGCATCCAGTATCTTGGACTGCTGAGCTCCCAGCTCATCTATCCTGCGCTGTAGGCGCTGTATGTGATCATCCCAATTAGTGAAGTGGCTGGCTGTGATTTTATTCTGTAGGATCATCGCTCAGCCAAGTACCTGGTGCACTGGGCCACTCTCTCATCTGTCATAGTCTTCTCGGCTTGCTGCAGCAGAAACTCTTTTCTAGAGGCATCTGTTGCAGCTTCCAGTTCGGCAGCAGCGTTAGTCATTTTCCCTGTCAGAAACAATAAACAACAGAGTTAGACAGCAAGAGGTGCAGCGATTTGCAATCACTCAGACACTCAGAAATCGCTGCAACACCAATTCACAGGGTAAGGTGGGTTAGTAGGCACAAGCGGTTAGGGTTAGAACACAATCACTGGGGTCAGTAATCATGCAGACTGAAAGTCCAGTAAAATCATTCACTAACGATTTCCTATACCTAACACTGAACTATCACTGAAGTTGAAACAAACACTTTCAGTGCATTCCAGGGATCACTAACATTCCGGAGCCCATCAGAAAACAGAGATAATCAGTGGTAGAGACAGATAGAGGCAAGAACTAGCTAAAATAGAGCAACAAGTAGTAGCGATGCAGTAGTGTAGACCCTGACAGCCCTAAACTCAAATTTCACCATTGTTGACATCTACAAAAATACCCACTGACACAGCGATTTTCAGTATTTCCCTGTAACTACTCAAATTCACCAATTCTGGGCCAGCGCTTTTGCACAGATGACAAATACTGAATTGCGATTCACCCCAGACTGACAGACTTGAATTCTGACGGACAAAATCTAAGTTTTTACTGACCCTAGGTGGCACAGGCTAAAAATAGATTCAGCGCAAAACTAAGATTCACTGTATCACTACTTTTTCTGTACAGAAGTCACATAATGATCATACAGGGTGCAGCGCAATACTGTCATACAGTCCCAGAACAAATTTGAGTCAGAAAGAGTCAACAGATGGTGATATATGGGTCAGGGTAGGGAGGAAGAAGATGGCTATGGTTGTCTTGCAGTTTGACAATTTCAAAATTGAGACCTTACTGACAGACAGACCATCAATTCAGACTGTACTGATCCTAAACTAATCGCTACTCAGGGATTTACACGGAACACACTCACTTGCAGTGTTTGCTCCAGTGGATGATGGAGTTATGGCTATGGCTGACAGAACCTTGATCTCGCCACTTCCATGCAGACACTCCTCCACCGATCTCCACCCGTAGAATCTCCTCAAACTTGTCAGTATCATGTGGCGCTTCAACCCCAACTCTCAGATTCACTGAATCTGGCTCAGTGGGGATGGGGAGGAAGATATCTCGCCACTGGAGAGCTAAGCCGCTGGTGCTAAATTTAGCCCAGATTAGAGCTAATTCAGCAGGAGATTGACCCTGCGATCAATTCTCCCTCAGCGCTATACTGGGTTTGATGCCACCACTCAGGTATCATTGGATTAGGGTATAATTCGCCACCCTGAACTCAGTCATCAACTGGGCGCAGAAAGGTGGATGGCGAAATACCCTTGTTCTCGCCAAATCCTGTCAGCGCTCAGACAGGCTCAGGGCGCCTGATCAATCACACACTGAATCTCTGAATTCACCGCTTGTCTACCTGCTCCCCTCTCTGTATCTTCCCTGAAGATGAAGCTTCAACATGGAGCTTCTCGCCAGATAGAGCTAGAAGGAGCGGGTGCATCTGTTGCGCTCAACCCTCAGTGCTCCATGTCCAATCTCCGCTCCGATACCAACTGTTATGAACTTGGTTGTCTGACAATTTTCTCGCCACTCACTCACAGGGTATCTCACACATGCCCATACATGCACAAGACAAAGGGGAGGAGAGACAGAGTCCAAACTGTACACAGACCAGAGATAAGCAGCGGAATAGCAACCATGCACAGATGGGGAGAATACACACTGTGTTTCTCTCTCCCTGACAAACTCCCAACAACCAATCACAAGATGACACTGCGAAGATCACAATTGGAATATAACACCGATGATGAGCCAACTCAACTCAAGTAACCCCAGTAATCTTTACAGAGTTTAACCCAGTGTCTGGCCACCTCAGAACCACACACTCCACCCACTGCTCCACTCTCAGAGTCCAGCGCTACACTGAAACAGCCTCCTAGAGGCCAGCGCCATCCACCAAGATGAAGATCATGGACTGCGATGTAGTCCTCAGTGCCGATGAGTCACTCTGACGAAGAAGAAGGCAGCTATGGCTGCCAAGCTGCTACCGTGGCAGCAGCGCCCACATATACCCAACGAAGAGCCTCAGTATAGCCCTGCCTTACGCAGATACCCCGAGAGGGTAGGTGCGCTGAGACTGGCCCCAGCTATGGCCGTCTCTCAGAGGCTGGTTATGGCTGCCTCACGTAGCTGAAGTCTCAGGTGCCGCTGTAGACTTTCAGCGCTGCAACACTTGGTTGGGCACGAACGCGGTCACGCGAAAATGAATTGCCAAAAAGCCCTGAATCGATGGGCCTAACCTATCTATAGACTCGCTAGACCTCGACCGGATTGACTGACCCAGCGGTACCGTTGCTGTTTCGGCCTCCCGGCATCTACTGGACCCGGCTATAGGCTTAGGACCGTCTAGCAGTATAGGCCGCTTAGGGCCTGTCGGTCCTAGGGGTAGCGCGGGCCTGCTATAGGCAGTTAAGGTAGCTGTAGGAATTCGGTTAGTACCGGGCCTGTATTTTTCCCGGATTTGCAGATCTGTCCCTCACGAATTTCCTTACAGGCCCTCAGCGAAACAAAATTACGAATCTAACCTACAGGTTAGTATACAGCCTCACAGTCAATCTCAGCAGCAGAAATCAGCAAGTCATTGCAAACATCTACAATGACCGTTTTGCAGACCGTTTTACAATTACGCTGTACATGTAGCAGCCAAATCTGTCTGCAACATCTCAGTGTGAATGGTGCAGCTCGGCATATCAGACAACAGAGGGCATTGGGATGAACATCAGGATATTCCTACCGGTAGGCAAAGTAGTCTGAGGAGCAAGGAAATGAGAGTCCTCCTCCCCCTCCTCCTCCTCTCTCTCTCTCTCTCTCTCTCTCTCTCTCTCTCTCTCTAGAGAGAGAGAGAGAGAGAGAGAGAGAGAGAGAGGGGGGGAGGGAGCTCGGCTTTGGTTCAACCAGGATGGACTACCTCATCTCAACGGACTGTGGAGTCAATGTCAAAAGAATCTACTACCTGCAATCCTTACAATGACGGTTTTTCCTAGTGATACGTCACACATGTACCAGCCAATTCTGTCTGCAACATCTGAGTGTGAATGGTGGAACTCGACATATCAGACAACAGAGGGCATTGCAATGACAACAAGATGTCTGCAACATCTTGTTCGCACAGTTGTTCATTTACAGTGCCCAACCAGTGTGGGTGCCAGGTCACCCGCATTCAGGTAATGACCAATGGAATCAGAACGGAGAAAGAGCAATGGTGCAGTGGTGGGAGTGAACACTTTGCAATGTCAGATAAGATCATCTTAGGTAAGTCAAGACCAGCGCAAACCCAGAATAGCCAGAGGCGATCACGATCATTGAATTGACCATTGTGGATCTCTCTGTTTGTGACTTTGCAGATACTCGGGAAGTGCAGCAAATAATGGAGGACAACGTGAAGCAGGTGTGTAGTGATAAGAAACCGCAAGGCACAGGCAGGTGCTTTGAAAAGCGTGGGCGTCGCTCAGTTCTCATTCCATGACGTGCGGCTTTCAAATTCCCCCTGACTCTTGCGATATATATTCATATGTTTATATATTTTGGAAGGATTTCACACTGTACTAGAGTCCCATGTCCCAGTCCCAAGTCCCAGGTCCCAGTCCAAAGTCCCAGGTCCCAGTCCAAAGTCCCAGGTCCCAGTCCCAAGTCCCAGGTCCCAGTCCTGAGTCCCAGGCCCCAGTCTTGAGTCCCAGACCCGAATCCCATTCTGTGTTTTATTAATGGTTCCAGCCACTTGTACAATGTGCACGAATACTCCAGAACAGTAGTTTTCGTGTGTAACATGATTGCAGAGGCTTAGGCGAGCTAGTTAAGTAGATTGTGATAGAAAGTCCCTGGTAGATAACAGTTATGGGTTGAAGAGTCTGCCTGTTACATCTTCGACCCCACACGGGTCCTACCGGACCCGACTTAGGGCTAGAGGGACACATCAGCGCCTAAAGGCCCGACCTTGGGGGATAACAGGCCGAAAGGCCACGACTTGGACCAGATTACGGACCAGGCCCAAACGACATTTCGTTTTGGGCCTTGCGGCGCCTTTTGAGGCTGCCGCTCTCCGGTTGGACCTGAATTGTCGATCTGGACGGTTCAGCCCCAACCAAGGCCTCGCAGCATTGAGGCCGGTCCTCTTCGAACCAGTACTTAGGACTGGTCGATGGCCTCGAAGTCCTCACTTCGAGGCCATCGACCCACCGGCACGCTACGGTGCGGTATGGTACAGCGCGAATCAGCGCTGGCGCTAAGTTTAGCGCAGGAGCAGCGAGGAGCAGCGCAGCGCAGCAGCAGCGGAGACTGGGCGTTATCGGCGGCCATAGCCGCCTGAGGTATTGGGAGTCGGAGGCTTCTCTCCTCCCTCCCATCGCCAGTCCCCTCTCTCTCTCTCTCCTCCTCGGCTCCCTTCTTCTTCTTCTTCTTCTTCTTCTTCTCTTCAGACTTCATCTTCTTCTTCTTCTTCTTCTTCTTCTTCTTCTTCTTCTTCAGATTGGAGACTTATACTAGTTGGACAGAGATCAGAGTTGGACTTTGGTGGTAAGAGGCTGTGGTACTTACCGGATTCGAGACTTGGAGATTGTTGGGGATGATGCTTGGCTGCATCACAGATTGGACACCGGTTACATTCGGACTCTGGTGACTTATTGTCCGCGACATTTTGATCTTGTTCGAGGACATTTTGGATTACCATATTGGTGACCTACTGGTTTCTATCTCGGTGACATTTGGTGCTACCTTCATCTCCTTTGTCTCTCCTCCCACCTCTCATCTGTGTATGTGTGTACGAGGTCTGGGCATTGTCTATGCTTGGCCCAGACCCCACCATCTCACGATTGTATGTGTGTGGAGTGATATCTATGTGAGTCAGTCCGTTTATCAGACTTCCGCTGCATATATGCTCATCCTACATTGGTTGATCTTTGGTTCTGCCCATACTCATTGAAATATGTAACAGTTTTGGTATCGGAGCAGACCAGTTTACGGAGCTGCTCACCAGGTATGTCTGATTTAGGACTTAGATTGCTCGTTCAATCTTCCAAATCAGCGCTGTATTACTATCAAGTTCAAAGTTGCAAAATTTTTCTTTTTTAGGTATTCTATTTAGTTCAGCATTTCCGTTTCAATTCGGTATTTGGACTTATAATTAGGATTTCGGTTTTATTCCGGTATGCTGTTTATTTAGGTTCCGATTAATTGATACTAATCCGATAATTTGTTAGGTTCGGATTTCTGATTTGAAAACGTTATTAGGGTTGAATCAGTATCCTGTTGAAATTCGGCATTCTGATTTCCATTCAGCAGTCCGTTTTTAACTTCGGCATTCTGTTGTAAATCCTACATTTCGTTTTTCTTTTTGGTATTTCCGTTTTTCCTTCAGTATTGGAAATTAGGGTTACAAAATTTTGGTTGTTCGATCAACTTGGGAATTTCGAACGTTTTGGAAACGTAATACCGGAAATTCCGCGGAAACGTGAAAAATTAGGGTTGGGGCCGAAATTTTTGCGAATTTTTTTTTTTCTTTCCCCTTGTTGGAGAAATTCCGAAAACGGATTTAGGCCTTTAAAAATCGGATTTTGACGGTGGAAATTCCCAAAATTTCACGTTTTTGGAAATTCGAGTGTTGTTTCTCTGGATTTTTCCGAAATTTTTGTTGGCAAATAATTCCTAATCTGACCCTCAAATTTGCGACTTTCGGGTAGTTAACTAATTAACGGTGAACTCCCGGACCATAATTGATCTCAAAGAGACCTTATCTTAGTACAATTCAAATTCGTTCATTATCATTATTACAAATATTGTTTATTGATTATCATCAAGAAATCTTTAGTGCAAACATTGTTTATTGATTATCATTAAGGGATTTTATTGCGTTATTAATCATTAATTAATTTTATTGATTAAATAATTCGTTATTAATTCTTCTGATTACAATTTTTTGGAATTGGTTACGGGAAAATTATTTTTTTCTGTTTTGATTAGGTGTCTACAGTCCATCAGTGGGACAGGGGGATTGTATGCGTATTGTTTGATTGTTCTACCCCTGTTCCCACTCTCCCTACCCTCCCCGTATTCTGTGACCACCGGGACGTCTCAAGTACCGCACCAGTTCACACTGATGTCGATGGAACAGGACACCGGGGCACTGCCACGGCGCAGTGCCAGGCTCGCAGTTCGTGCTCGACCTACGGTACCTCCACGAACCAAGGCTCAGCAACAGAGACTCAGCAGGCGGACGACTCCAGCGGCATCGAGTACAGCGTTGACGGTACCGGTTACCACTGGAGTTCTTCCCGCATGCCCGGTCCAAGGGGCCGGTGAGCCGTTGGCAGCTTACCTTCAGTGGGTACAGGCATTCACAGATGTTGTAGCTACCGCAAAGGCTCAAGAGGAGGCAACAGAGGTAGAACGTCAGCGGCTGGCGAATGAGGCGGCAGCCCAAGCTCGGCACACTGCTGAGGCTGACGCAGCAGCACGAGATCAACGGAATGCCGCCAGCACGGAGTCCCTGATTCATAGTGAGAATCAGTGGACAACCTTCCTCCAAGGCATGGTCTTTGTGCCTTCGGACGCGCAGGCGGATCCGACACCGGCGGAGGCAGAGAGAACTCACCTGGCTAACTTGATGCTGGGCATGATGAGAGGAATCATGTGGAATAACACACTGCTGCAGGCRCATCTGYGCACRGAACAACARCAAAGACARAAGTACCAGCAAGACATTGYTGTTTTAACGGYTGCCATCCRCGCCRAAGCTTCACAGCAGCAGCAACWRCATCARCTGTTGAACTCAGCTCTCGCACGCATCAACAACATTGAGGCTAATGCCTCAGCAGCGCCAGGCTGCACGACGGACGCGACGAAGCAGCTCAACGAGCGCATCGATCACGTCGTCAATATCATCGRCGATRTAGGCRATTTSACTAGCCCRGCCACAATCAGCAGCACGGTGGCCGCCATCAAGACGGACATCACCAAGCTGCAGACGAGACCGGACGCCGCTACGAAGACTTACAAGATGCCGCACTTSGACATCAGCAAGTTCGACGACTACAACAAGTCGGACGCCTTGACATGGTGGCAACGTTTCCTCACGGAAGCATCATGCCGCACTGTCCCGGCGGATGACATGATGAAGGCGCTCTACTTACAACTGAACGGAGGAGCGCAGACATGGATGAATTATCTGGCGGCTACCAAGAAATGCACCATCGCCGAACTCCACACACACATTCCGTGGAAGGAGTTCGAGAAGCTATGGCTCACCCGGTTCATGGTTCGCAACGTCGTGAAGGCAGCCATGAACGAGGTGTACACCTGCTCTCAAGGTAGTATGCCAACTCGAGACGGGATAACTAAGTGGCAGAAGATAGTGACCACGCCAGGCTTCGATTTGAGTTTTACCAATCAACGATCCGAGTTCTTCTCGCGATCGTGCGCAGGACTGCGATCGGCACTCGGCAACGAGTACGATTACGATTCGTTCCAGGCCATTCTGGATCGTGCAAACTTGGTCATCCAAACGGATGACAAGGCCGCAAACGAACGGCAGTCCCAACCGCATTATGTGGCTAAGCAGGGCTATCAACAACCGGCACATAACAATGCCGTGATTTATGAAGAAACAGTCGATCTCCACGATGTAGCAGCATCCTCGAGTGATGGAGGAATTGTAGCAGCGCTCCCGCCGAAGCGTCCCAAGAGAGTTCGAAAGAACAAGGCGACACATGAGACGGCATCGACGGGAACTGGGCCGCAACCATGGACGGCTTACAAGATAACCAAGCATGTCTATGACCTCCGTAAAAAGTACGGATACTGCCTTTGGTGCAACGGCGTCATGCATTTGACCGCACAATGCCTCGAAAAGGGCAAGACACGCGTATCCTGTCCAGCAAACTCGGGAAACTGAGTTATGCAAGGAGAGGGGCGACGTCTCTCCTCACTCCGCCGGAACCGGTTGCCTTGCTAGCAATCGATGTCACTACCGGGGAGCATGCGTTAGTCGCTGATTCTCGTGCTACGTATGAGGATTATGCCGCCCAGCTGGTACCACCACTAGACCAGCCGAGCCACGTACACTTAGATTGCGTATGCGCAGCCTGTACACCGTCGACAAGTGATCCGGTCAATTCACCACTGATTTGCGAGGACTCGACGGCGTGGTCAAGACTTGAGGAGCTTGACCTGCTCACGAGAGAGGACTTCGCTTGGATGCCTCTACCCTCGACCGGAACCTTGCCAAGGCCGCATTGCAACGGCTTGATGGCAAATCTACGCTCCTATTTGCACACTACAGTACCAGCTCCGTTGACGGACGACGGGGTAGCGGTTGTCGATCTCCGCTCCTATCTTGCGAAGATTGACCGCGAGTACGCCACCCAAAGGTACGCCAAAACCGACGCTCCTTTGCTCTATATCCGCATTCAAATCGGAAAGGCAACCTGTAGTGCCTTGATTGATTGCGGTGCGTCTCGCAACTTTGTGAGCCAAGCCTTTATGACCCGCGCAGGTCTTGGCCCGCGCGTTCGAAGGAAGACGCAACCTACGCAAGTTACACTCGCGGACGACCGCACGCAAAAGTCAATTGACCGATGCGTCGATGGCGTTTCGGTCTACTTTGCGCCACTTGCGTGCGAGCCGGTGTCTTTTGACATCCTCGACACCAAGTTCGACATGATTCTAGGCATGTCTTGGTTGCGTAGCGCCGATCATCCGGTGAACTTTCATGACCGAACCGTTCACATCCGTGATCAGAACGGAGTTTTAGTCCCATGTACGGTTGCGAACCCTCACACTTCGATTGCTTGTCACGTGGTTTCCGTTGCGAGAATTCGCGACGCCTTAGCTCGGAATGACGTCCAGGAGATGGGCCTTAAATTCTTGCATGCCCTCCCCTCGCCGGACGGACCAGCCGCGTCACCGTCGGACCCACGCATTTCTCACCTCTTGGACGAGTATAGAGACGTCTTCGAGGCTCCCACCGGAACGGTTCCGGATCGGCCCATACGTCACGGGATCACTCTCGAGGCTGGYGCCGTCCCTCCGCGTGGATGTATCTACCGCATGAGCGAAGARGAACTCGAGGTGCTTCGCGCACAACTCGATGACCTTCTCGACAAGGGTTGGATTCGCCCTAGTTGCTCGCCATACGGTGCACCTGTTCTCTTCGTCCGGAAGAAGAATAAAGATCTACGGTTATGCATCGATTATCGCATACTTAACACACAAACTGTAAAGAACACCGGTCCTCTCCCTCGGATTGATGATCTCCATGAGCGGTTAGGCGGCGCGACGTACTTCTCGAAGTTGGACTTGAAGTCAGGTTACCACCAGATTGAAATCCAGCCTCAAGATCGGTACAAGACCGCGTTCAAGACGTGGTACGGGGATTTTGAGTTGGTTGTCATGCCCTTTGGCCTCACCAATGCCCCCGCAACTTTTCAAGCAGCTATGACGACTGAGTTTCGCGACTTGCTCGATTGCAGCGTCCTCATCTACCTCGATGACATCTTGGTCTATAGCAGGACGTTGGACGCGCACATCACACACCTTCGCGCTGTTTTGAATCGTTTGGGACTGGCCAAGTACAAAGCAAACCGCGACAAGTGCGAGGTCGCCAAGCAAGAGCTTGAGTATTTGGGCCACTATGTTACGCCGAAAGGCATTCGTCCCTTAGCGGACAAGATCCAAGCCATCGTGGATTGGCCGGAACCCCGTTGTTCGACGGATGTACGCTCTTTCATGGGTTTGGCTGGGTACTATCAGCGATTCGTCGAGTCATACTCGAAAGTGGCCGCTCCTTTGTCGAGACTTCAGTCCCGAAGGTGCCCTTCGAGTTCGATGACGCAGCCCGTGGCGCGTTCACTACGTTGAAGGCAGCAATGCAAGCCACACCTGCCCTCCGTATATACGACCCCACCCTACCCACCCAAGTGACTACGGACGCTTCGGGATACGGTATTTGTGCGGTGTTGGAACAGTGTCACGAGGACGGTTGGCATCCGGTTGAGTATTTCTCCCAAAAGTTGCCTCTCCTCAACACTCTCGACGACGCTAGGAAGAAAGAGCTACTCGCGTTCGTCTCCGTTCTCGAACGGTGGCGCCACTTTCTTCTCGGCCGTCTGCGTTTTAAATGGAATACGGACAACAAATCGTTGACCTTTTACAAAACGCAGGACACGGTCACTAGCACGATCGGTCGATGGATGTATTACATCGACCAGTTCGATTTTGACCCGTGCCACATTCCCGGTCCCGCCAATTGAGCTGCTGACGCCCTCTCACGACGGCCCGACTTTTGTGCCATTGTGACCACGACATTCGACCTCGATGACGATGTGCAGCCGCATTTCGTCAAAGGCTACAAGTCCGATCCGGCTTACTCTACGCTATATGCAAAGCTCTCATCGGATCACCGGCCGGCTAGCCACTATCGGATTTCCGACGGGTTCCTTCTCCTTCACACGAGAGGAAAGGACTTGTTAGTTGTGCCCCAAGATCGCATCTTACGGACTCGTTTTCTCGGCGAATTCCACGACGCACGACTTTCGGCACACCTTGGCGTGAACCGCACAATAGCACGCCTCCGCCTGCGTTTTCACTGGCCCGACGTCCTTCATGACGTCACGAGGTACGTTGAGTCATGTGCAGTTTGCCACCGTAACAAGGGTCGATGTCGAGTCCCCTTCAGCGAACTGAAACGGTTGTCGATTCCTCGGGCACCGCGCCTCTCCATTGCTATGGACGTGACAGGCCGTTCCCCCGCGGTCGCCACGACCATGACGGTATTCTCACGGTCGTTGACCGTTTGAGCAAGTATGCTTGCTTCCTTCCTTGCAAGTATCATGCTGCAGCACCCGAGCTCGCACGACTCTTGCACACCGGTTGGATTACCAACCACGGTGTTCCGGAAGCGACCAAGATACTCGCTTCATGTCGACCTTTTGGACTTCCCTCATGGCTGAGTCTGGTACGACAATGAAGCCAAGCTCGGCTCGGCACACGCAGACGGATGATTAGACGGAGCGAGCGCACCAAACCGCTCAGATGATGTTGCGTACGCTCATCCGTCCCGACCAGAAAGATTGGGTTGACCGGCTTCCCGACATCGAGTTCGCCTATAACACTTCGGGCGATCTGCGTCACACCATTCGAGCTACATCACGGTGGAGAGAAAGCACGGATCTTCGCCGATGTCCTTTTGCCACAGGCTGCCGACATAAACGTCCCTTGCTCTCCCGCTTCCGTTCGGAAGTACCGGGACTTGCTGATCAAAGCCCGCACAAATATGCAAAAGGCTCAGATCCGCATGCAGCAGCAGGTTAACCGACGTCGACTTCCATGTCCTTTCCGCGAGGGAGACCTTGTTTGGGTCCTCTCCGAGGAATTTGCGCTCGAGCAGGACGTTTCGCTCAAACTCCTTCCGAAATGGTTCGGACCATGGGAAGTCACTTCTGCCGTTGGAGACGACGCCACAGGTCCTTCCTTCGTGATCAACATTCCACCGCACCTTACAGTGCATCGGGTCTTCCACGCATTGAAGCTGGCCATCTACACGTCACCTTCAGTTGACGAGTTTCCTGGACGTCGATCACAGGATCCGCCTTCCATGGACGGACATCAGGAAGTGGACCGAGTCATCACGCACCGCAAGTATGGCAACAAGCCAATGCAGTA